AATAGCTTTTTTCTATGTGAATAACTGTTAAACTGTAATGTATTTCTGTGATGGGCAGCTGTATTTTCAGCATCATTACTCCAGTCTTCAGTGTCACATGATCTTCAGAAATCTTTCTAATATGCTGATTTGCTGCTCAACATACTATTATTATTATTATTGTTATTATTATGTTAAAAACAGCTGAGTAGAATTTGTTCAGGTTTCTTTGATGAATAGAAAGATCAGAAGAACAGCTTTTATCTGAAATAGCCATTTTTAATAACATTATAAATGTCTTTATCATCACTTTTGATCAATTTAAAGCATCCTTGCTAAATAAAAATATTAATTTATATCATTTCTTTCTCAAAATGATACTGACTCCAAGCTTTTGAATGCTAGAGTGTATAATGTTACAAAAGCTTTTTATTTCAGATAAATGCTGATCTTTGGATCTTTCTATTCATCAAAGAATCCTGAAAAAATTCTACTCGGCTGTTTTAAATATTGATAATAATATTAAAAAATGTTTATCAGCATATTAGAATGATTTCTGAAGATCATGTGACACTGAAGACTGGAGTAATGATGCTGAAAATACAGCTTTGATCACAGAAATAAATTATATTTTAACATTTTAGGATTTTAGGATCATTACTCCAGTCACATGATCCTTCAGAAATCATTCTAATATTCTGATTTGCTGCTCAAAAATCATTTATTATTATGTTGAAAACAGCAGAGTAGAATTTTTTCAGGTTTCTTTGATGAATAGAAAGTTCAGAAGAACAGCATTTAGCTGGAATAGAAATATTTTGTAACATTACAAATGTCTTTATCATCACTTTTGATCAATTTAAAGCATCCTTGCTAAATAAAAATATTAATTTATATCATTTCTTTCTCAAAATGATACTGACTCCAAGCTTTTGAATGCTAGAGTGTATAATGTTACAAAAGCTTTTTATTTCAGATAAATGCTGATCTTTGGATCTTTCTATTCATCAAAGAATCCTGAAAAAATTCTACTCGGCTGTTTTAAATATTGATAATAATATTAAAAAATGTTTATCAGCATATTAGAATGATTTCTGAAGATCATGTGACACTGAAGACTGGAGTAATGATGCTGAAAATACAGCTTTGATCACAGAAATAAATTATATTTTAACATATTCAAATAGAAAGCAGTTATTTTAAGTAGTAAAATATTTCAGAATATTACTGCTCTTGCTGTATTTCGGATCAAATAAATGCAGGCTTGGTGAGCAGAAGAGACTTTAAAAACATTAAAAATCTTACTGTTCAAAAACTTTTGACTG